GAAGCTGTAAGTCTAGGATGGAGAACAAATTTGGAAGAATAATAGTTCTAGGAACTCCACCAGCTTCCTTAGCAACTTTCCTATCTGTAAAGAAATGGTTCCTTCCAGTTCCAGGGCTGAGAGGGACATGCTTTTATTTTAGGATATGCCCTCCGGATATGTCTTTGCTGAGGACAGAATTCTTACCATCCACCCTCTCTTCTAGTGTGAGGCAGACACAGGTGACTGGAGGAGATCTCATTTGAAGTTCTATGCTAGGCCAGTGGCTCTCAAACTTGAATGTCTGTCAGAATCACTGAGAGAGCTTATTAAAAAACAGATTGTGGCCAGGCGTGGTAGCTCATGCCTGTAATCCCAGCACTTTGCGGGGCTGAGGCAGGTGGATCACTTAAGCTCAGGAGTTTGAGGCTAGCCTGGCCAACATGGCGAAACCCCATCTCTACAAAAAATAGAAGAATTAGTTGGGTGTGTGGCGGGAGCCTGTAATCTCAGCTACTTGGGAGGCTGAGGCAGGAGAATTGCTTGAACCTGGGAGGTGGAGGTTGCAGTGAGCCAAGATCGTGCCACTGCACTCTAGCCTGGGTGACAGAGCCAGACTTTGTCTCAAAAAAGAAAAAAAAGAGCACAGGCTTTATTTCAGTCAAAGTAACAGCAGCAGTTGCTGTGTCCTAGGTTCTATGCTAGGAAGTGTGAATTCATTGTCACCAAACCCTCCTAATACGCCCATGCAATGGCTTTTATTAGTACTGGTTCCACTTTACAATGAGAAAACCGAGGCTCAGAGAGGGCTCACAAGCTTTGAATCAGACAGATGTGCTGTCCGACTCCAGCTCTACCACTGACCCACTGCAAGATTTTGGGCAAGTGGTTTGCTCTTCTTGAGCCTCAGTCTAACTCGTCTGTAGAATGCAGATCACAACATATGATTCCCAGAGCATGATAAGGAGTACAGGGGTGATGATTACAAGAGCACCTGCACAACGTAGTTACTCAAGAAATGCTCGTCCCTATTCCTGTCTCATGCCCCATCACGGCCTCAAGTTCCTTTTCTCACTCCCGAGACACATCCTCCTATCTTTCCTCCTACTCACCCTACTACAAAGTGACTATATACTGCATCACCTCCTGAACATACTTCCTTTGGTCATGCCTTTAGGCTATTTCCTCTGCATGGAATACTTTTCTCACTCCACTGCTCCAGAAGAACTCCTATTCATCCTTTAAAACCCACCTTAAAAAGCCCTTCTCTTTGAACCTTTCCTTGAAATGTTCCCTTCTGGTCCTTGGCCAGAAAAGGTGTAGCGGCATCTTATTTGAAGAAGGAGTTCAAAGTGTTACTTTCCTTCCTTCCTCCCTCACCTACCACATTTTATAAAGGGTATAACTGAAGTATAAATGCACTGTTACAGGGACCAGGCAGGCAGGTAACACCACCACTATCAGCCTCAGCCTTAGCCTCAGCAATGCTCAGACAGTGTTTACTTGAGTCAGGCACTGTGCTGAGGGATTCATCTGTGTTGACTCATTTAATGTCCAAAATAACCCCTTTATTATGCCTGCTTTACGCATAAGGAAATGGAGTCACAAAAAATCCTAAACAATTTGCCTGAAACTGGTGTTTTTTTTGAGACAGAGTCTTGTTCTTGTCGCCCAGGCTGGAGTACAATGGTGCAATCTCAGCTCATTGCAACCTCTGCCTACTGGGTTCAAGCTATTCTCCTGCCTCACCTTCCCAAAGTGCTGAGATTACAGGTGTGAGCCACCATGCCTGGCCTGAAACTATTATAATTAATCCAGTGCATCGCTGGGAGATTGAGACTGGCTGTGGAGTCTGTGGTGTTACCTTTTATATTAGCTGCTCTTTATGAATGAGGGGAGGACCAGGTAGGGACTGTCATGCCTTGCAGGGTGCCTACTCCATGTAAGGGGCAGCTAAATGTCTGGCCTGGCATTGCCAGCTTTTCTTTTCTTTCTTTTTCTTTTTTGAGAGAGGGTCTCACTCTGTTGCCCAAGCTGGAGGGCAGTTGTGTGATCATAGCTAGATGCAGTCTCAACCTCCTGGGCTCAGGGAGCCTCTCTCCTCAGCCTCCCTTGTAGCTGGGACTGTAGGCACATGCCACCACACCTAGCAAATATATATATTATTTACATATATGTATGTAAATAATATACATATACATATGTATATGCCTTTTGTATATGTATATGTATTATATACATATACAAAAGCCCTTCTTTTTGAACTCTAGCTAACACAGTGGTAGTGGAGTGGGGGCATGTGCATACATGGATCTGTATGTGAGCAGTGGAGCTAGGAAGTGGTGAAGCTGGGATTGTAGTGTCTCTGATTCTAGTTTTTCATCCACCTGGATCATGGGTTCCACCAAACTCTTGAGTGTCCCATCAGGCAGTCTAGAGCAGACACCCTCTCTTAATGCCACAGTCTGGACCTACAAAGTTTGTGGTTCACAAATGGGACCTTGGACAGTCCAATCTGCTGGTTTGTGGTCTTCAACTCCTTCTGTCTGCTATTGGAGGGTGAGTTTGGCTTTGGGGGCATCTAGAGAGAACCCCTAGAGGTGGCCCCTGATGGGCCTCTGCCCACTGGGGCATGGCCAGGCAGAGCTAGTGGCCTGGCTGATTCCCAGCCTTTGGGACCAGCAGAGACTGCAGCTAGAGAGAGTGTGGTGCTTGTCCTTGGCCATAGACAGAATAGAGGTGTGTGTGCACACCTGTGCATGTGTATGCATGCATGTGCACATGCTTGTGTGTTTCATGTATGTGCACAATGTGTGCTTGTGTGAACATGCATATGTACACATATATGTGCATGTGTGTGTGTGTATGCATGGGTCTGTATGTGAGCAGTAGAAAAGAGAGGACCTCATCCCCTAAATTCAGATCCTGTAAAGTGAAAAGAGAGGACCTCATCCCCTAAATTCAGATCCTGTAAAGTTAGTTTAGGATAAAGAACAAGAAATTGAACTTAACCCTGAGATAACAATTTATAGAAGACACTGATATAAAAACCAGCCAGAAAATTTTTGTCACCTAAATTCCCATCAGCAGGCATGCCCATGGTGGGAATCCATACAGCAATTTAAATAAATAAGCTGGATTTATATGCAGCAGCATGGATAACAAGATGAGAGGGGCCACGTTGCAGAATGACATAGGTGGGTTGTACCATTTCTACTTCTACTGCTATTTTTTTTCCTTTGGGATGGAGTTGCACTCTTGTTGCCCAGGCTGGAGTGCAGTGGTGCCATCTTGGCTCACTGCAACCTCCGCCTCCCAGGTTCAAGAGATTCTCTTGCCTCAGCCTCCTGAGTAGCTGCGATTACAGGTACCCACCACAACACCCTGCTAATTTTGTGGGGTTTTTTTTTAAGCAGAGATGGGGTTTCTCCATGTTGGTCAAGTTGGTCTTGAACTCCCAACCTCAGGTGATCCACCCACCTCGGCCTCCCAAAGTGCTGGGATTACAAGCATGAGCCATCACTCCCAGCTTCTGTTTTTTAATTTGTTATTTTTTTGAAACAGAATCTTGTTCTGCTACCCAGGCTGGAGTGCAGTGGTGCGATCTCAGCTCACTGCAACTGCCACCTCCTGGGTTCAAGCGATTCTCGTGCCTCAGCCACCATGCCCGGCTAATTTTTGTAATTTTTTTTTTCAGTAGAGATGGGGTTTCAGCATATAAACCAGGCTGGTTTCAGACTCCTGACATCAAGTGATTCACCTGCCTCAGCCTCTCAAGGGTTGTACCATTTCTATTAAATATCCACCTACAACATTAATAAGTATTTTACATATTTTCTATGGCTATGTATGTATGACTGTGTGGGTGGAAGAAAATGTCTAGAAGGAAACACCCCAAATTATGAGGTGATTACCTTTGGGGAGCTGGGAGGGCAGCGGTAGAAGATCACTGCAAAGAAGAATGGATCCCTGTGTTCCGCATGGAATTACACAGTTCAGTGGTCAGGCAGGTTGGGTCACTCATGGATACTCGGATCTGAGACAGGGATGCTCAGGTCTCTGGGAGCTTTCAGGCCCATCCTCCGTGGGCTTTGTGAGAGCTGGGCTGCCAGGGACCAAAGCCAGTCTTGGTTGTTCTGCCCCCACTCTGGTGGAGGTGAATGGGAAGATGTGCATTTTGTGGACTGGAGCTCTCTGCTGCTTCCTCCCTAAACTCCGTGCCTCAGTCTCCCCCTCCACGCTAGAGGGAGAATGTCCCTGTCTTATATCCCAGACCCTCTCCCTCCACTGCACACCTAAGCCACATGACATTTCTCCAGACATCAACTTAGCGCTGCACAGTCCTCAGCGCAAACAATCGCAGAGCCTTCGGATGTGGCCTCCTCCCCAGCACCACCCCAAAAGGGACACTTAGAGAAGAAACGCAGGTTCCCCGGACGCTACTGACAGCCCACGAGGTAGGCTCCAGGGTCGGACTGCCTGGGTTCAAATCTGAGCTAATCAACTTGTTCCTGGGACCTAGGAAAGCTTACCCACCCTCTGACCCTCACTTTGCACCTCCGCAAAATGGGGACAGCAAGAGAACCAGAACCACCCCACAGGGATGGCCTGTGAGCGAAGTTAGATCGTTTGAGCAAGGCGCTCTGCTGCGCGGTGCCCAGCACGTAGAAAGCTATCTCGAGTTTCATTGTTGTCACCTCCTGAACAACCTGTCGCCCCGCCCCCGCCCCATGCCAGGATTTTGCAGCTGTCTCTGAGGTCCCAGACACGCCGGGGACCCACTCCCCGTCCCGCCGTCCGCACCCTGGGGGCTTTTCCCAGCCTCCAATTCTCCCTTCTGCCCCCAACCACTTCAGTACCCAGGCCGGGTCCCGGCGCCGCAGACGGGCACCCAAGCGCCCTCCCGTGGGAAACTGAGGCGGACAGCAGCGCGCTGGCCGGGGTTAGGCAGAAGGCGCGGAGCGCAGGTTCGCAGGGCAGAGCGCGGGAGCCTGGGTGCGAGTCGGGGGTCGCGGTCATACCTGCTCGACCGGTGGAGTGGGGACACGGAGGATGCGCGCTGTCGGCGGTGGCGGAGGCAGCAGTGCGCGCTGGGCAGGCGGCGACGGCGGCTGAGTGGTGGTGACACTGGGACACCGGGTGACACTGGGACACCGGGCAAGCACGGCGAGACCGAGGAGGAGCGAGCAAGTTCAGGGGCGGGGAAGCCCCGGGAGCGCCCGCGGGCGGAGCTTACCGGGCGCCACCGGCCCGGCCACCTGCAAGGTCCCGGCTCCTCTGGCCAGTTCCCTCGACTGCCAATAGCTCCAGCCCCCACACGCCACGTGCAGGGACACTGGACGCCTCCCGCACGCACACCTCCACGCTCCGCATTCTCTCTCTCTCCGCTTTTCCGGACACCAGCGATACCCACATGCGCCACGAGTATATTCAAAAACCCCCTCATCCGAGTGTCCTCCACGCCCCTCAGTACATATCACATGCCACATACATGAACACTCCGTCCCATCCCACGCGTGTACCTGTCCGGCTTACCTCGGCTAAGCATCGCGCTCACCTATACAGTCGCGCCCCCATCACGTCCACAACCTGGCAGGCACAGCGTCCTCTGGGCCAATTGGTGATTTTAGGGGAACCTGTGCAGCCCCTTTCTCCAGGAAAGTTCTTCCCGCTGCCTCTTCCATCTCCTCCAAGGTCAATATCAAACCTCAATCATCCCCGATAGGTCCGATCTTTGCATTAGAAATTCAAACAGTCCACCCTGGTTTGGGACCTCTGGCTCCCTCTGGAGTGCCCGCTATACCTGAGCTCCAGCGTCAGGGCACCGACTGGCCTTGCGATGTCCTCAAATTTTCCCTTCCTTCTCTCTTCTCAATTCAAGGTTCCGGGACTATCATTTCAGCCACTTTCTTACCAATATTCTTAACACTTCATTTCCTGTATATTTCGCCACAGATTGTCCTGATGTAGCCATTCTCAAAATGTTTGGTTTTGGGACTCTTGTACTTGGTTTTTTTTTGAGACAGAGTCTCACTCTATCGTCCAGGCTGGAGTGCAGTGACTAGATCTTGGCTCCTGCAACCTGCCCCTCCCAGATTCCAGCCATTTTCCTGCCTCAGCCTCCCAAGTAGCTGGGATTACAGGCACCTGACACCAAGCCCGGATAATTTTTTTTTGTATTTTTTGTAGAGTTGGGATTTCTCTATTTTGGCCAGGCTGGTCTGGATCTCCTGGGCTCAAGTGATCCACCAGCCTCAGGCTCCCAAAGTGCTGGGATTACAGGTGTGAGCCACCATGCCCAGCCAGGAATCTTTTGTGTTTTTAAAAGTTATAGAATGCCCGAGACATTTTGTTTATGTGGGATATGCACACACACACACACACACACACACACACACATACACAATAAACGCGTTTTTTGTTTTTGTTTTTGTTTTAGAGACTGAGTCTCGCTCTCCCCACACTGGAGTGCAGTGGCACGATCTCAGCTCATTACAACCCTCCACCTCCTGGGTTCAAGCCATTCTTGTGTCTCAGCCTCCCAAGAAGCTGAGACTACAGATGCGCACCACCATGACCAGCTAATTTTTGTATTTTAGTACAGAAGGGGTTTCACCATGTTGACCAGGATGGTCTCGATCTCTTGATCTCGTGATCCACCCACCTCAGGCTCTCAAAGTGAGGGGATTATAGGCGTGAGCCACCACACCCGGCAAAGGTGTGTTTTTAACACATATGTTATTTTGTTTATATATTGATACTTTCCATATGAGAAATTAAAACTGATACTTAAAAAATTTATTAATACATTACACTATAACTAATAAACCCATTACTTATTGACATAAATAAAAGGATTTTTATGAATTTGTTCTTTTTTTTTAGAGAAGGGACACAGGATCTCGATTTGTTGCCCAGGCTGGAGGGCAGTGGTGTGACTCTAGCTCCCTGCAGTCACAAATCTTGGGCTCCAGCCATTTTCCTGACTTAGCTGGGACTACAAGGTGCATGCCACCACTTCCAGCTAATTAAAAAACGGTTTTTTTTTTTTGTTTTTTCCTAGAGACAGAGTCTTGCTGTGTTATCCAAGCTGGTCTCAAACACCTGGCCTCAAGCAATCTTCCCACTTCAGCCTCCCAAAGTGCTGAGATAACAGGTGTGAGCCATCATGCCTGGCTGAAAAATTTTTCAATTAAAAAAAATCAGTGGGAAGAAGGGCACCATTTAGTATTTTTGCAACTGTCTTTCATGTTTGGCTTAATAAGAGATAGCTGGATTCTCATACTCAGTCTGCTGCAATCTGTTGTTTTAGTTGAAGTAAATGAATTAAATTCAGCTTCATATAATTTGACCCACCATTGCTTTTGCACTGTCAGGGAAAATGGCCACATGTGAAAAAGGCAAATAAGATCTTAGGATTATTATGAAAGCGATTTTGACCTTACAGTTCCTCCTGAAGGATCTCTGGGACCTCCCAGGGGTCTGTGGACCTCACTTTGAAAACCAGTGCTTCCCTGATATATTTGGTTGTGACCATATAAAATTGTTGGTATTTGACTATTATTGACCTATGAAAATAGCAATTTTGGCCGGGCAGGGAGGCTAATGCCTATAATCCTAGTACTTGGGAAGCCGAGGTGTGTGGATTACCTGAGCTCAGGAGTTTGAGACCAGCCTGGGCAACAAGGTGAAACCCCATCTCTACTAAAATGCAAAAAATTAGCCAGGCATGGTGGTGGGCACCTGTAGTTTCAGCTACTTGGGAGGCTGAGATGGGAGAATCACTTGAACCCAAGAGGTGGAGGTTGCAGTGAGCCAAGATTGTGCCACAGCACTCCAGCCTGGACAACAGAGAGAGACTCCATCTCAAAAAAAAAAATATATATATATATAGAGTAATTTCATATGGTTTAATCCAATGCATTATTTGTGAAGGCTTTCCTTTTGGGCCCTGTTGGACATTTTCAGAATGAGTCCCCTGTGAAACTGCACTGTTGTGACCAGCTTTATACAACTGACATCTTCATTTTGCATCATGATTTCCATTGTGGGGGAGGTGGAGTTTTGGGATGTCTAGGAACTCCAGACTTGTTGGTGTTAGTCTGGCAAGTTTTAAGGCATGAATGTTTAAATAATTATGAACAAAGAGTGTTGTGTTCTATAGTTAACTTGGCCTCCTGGCGAGAAAACCAACTTCTTTCCTCTTTTTGTTAGGGTCTGTAGTCTGACAGCATCAGAGAGCGTCCACATGGACTTTAGCCAGCTGTTTAGAACTGTGGATCATTTTGAGGTAGGAAGCAGGCAAAACTTGATTCTGGACCAGATTGAAGACTGGCCAAACACGGAAGAGGCACCAATAGCACCTCTTCATAAAACATAGCCACCAGTGCGATGACAGTTTACCATTGTCATGGCAACACCCAAAAGTTACTGCCCATTTTCTAGCTATTTCTGAATAACCTGCCCCCTTAATTAGCATGTCATTAAAAGAGGGTATAAATATGACTGCTAGGCTGCTCTCTGCAGGAGCAGGGACAGAGCCCTAACACTGCTACTGCTTCAATAAGGCTGTTTCCTTCCGCCACCAGGTAGCTGCCTCTTCAATTCCTTCCTGAGTGAAGCCAAGAACCTGCCCTGCATTAATTTGATCAAATTTAAAAACAAAAACCTCTTTTGATGGATGAAGATTCATGGATTAAATTAAGGCAGAGTCAGATAAATTCATATCTGAATGGATTTATGACTGTTTTGGGAGGTCTCTTAGGGCCAAAAATGTTCTATTGAAAATTTTTGTCATATTGTGGAAAGACAGTCCTCTTGCTTTCTTCAGGTTAGTGCAATTCTGGGAGATGAGGTCTGAGAGGGGATCCAAGATCAGTCAAACAAGCCCTAGAGATCAATGGGGTGTTAGATGTTAAAGCCATATTACCCTTTATAACCACCATCTAAATAATACTTTGATAGAAGACAAGGTGAATGTTCTTTTTGGGGGTATGGGAGAGCTGGGGACACCAAACACCCATTCATTCTATTTCAGGTAACCGCACTTGGTTTAACTCTGGGGTCACCACTCCTTTCTCACTCCTAGTCTGTATTTTGATCTTAAGGGTGTTGACTTCATTCATTATCACCTTATTCAGGGCGGATATGGCCCAGGCATATTAATTAGCATTTTGCATTCCTCTTGGGATAGTGATTTGGTTGTATGTGGGACATGATCCAAGTCAGATTAACCATGGTCGGTGAAACTCTATACAAGGACTCTTTCATTGAACTCTCAGGGAGTTTTGCTGGCTTGGGAGTTGTTCAGATGGGGAGCTATATTTTGGAAGAGGCTACATAATAATGGATTCCACCCAGAAAGATGACAAAGAGAAACTAGGTTCCAATATCATCATCTGACCCAACTAAAAACACAGCAGAAGTTAGCCCTACTCCCTGGACATTTCAGGTGCATGAGACTATACATTTCCTTTTGCTAAGCCATACTGGGATATCTGTTGCTTGCAACCAAAAGACTCCTGGCCAATACTGGTGAAAATTGTATCCAAATGGCAAAAGAAGGAAGTGAGGAGGAACAGCTAATACATCTATTTGCAGAATCTTGACAGACTGGAATGTCTGGCTCTCAACTGAGAATGTAAACAACAACAAGCACAAATGGTAAGTCCAACAGTGAGTGAGGCCCAGACAGGCAACTGGCTGCCGAAGTCCAGACAGGGAGCCATGGCTTGAGGCACGTGTAGGCCCCCTGAGAGAGTTAGGGAGACTGTCAGAGACGCAGTGCCACCTACAGGTCTGGAGGCCCAGGCACTGGGTCTCTGGCTCAGTTGGTGGACTTCTTATCTCACTCTATTTATCAAAGGCAGATCCCTGATCTTCAATCTCATTGCCCAAGGTCACAGCAGGCTCCAGGTGCTTCCCTGCCTGTCACCACAACACACCAGCTGACACGATCCAAATCCTTTTTGTTGTCCCCTCTTTCTGTTTCCAATATTCCCACCCCTTTAAATTTTTGTTCCCATTTCACAGACCCAGAGGTGTGAAGGAACTTGCCCAAACAGCCACAAAACCCAAAGAACAAGACCAAAGTCCATGTTCTGAAATGTTTTGCTAAACTGCAGAGTTGTAAAGTGACAGTCCTCGTGTGGGGTGGGTAGGAGATGGGAGAGATCCAGCTTCTGTCAGACCACCTGGTGCTTTTTAGATTTTCAAACCAATGTTTAAAAATCAGAAAATAGACCAGGCACGGTGGCTAAAACCTGTAATCC